GACCCCAGTCTTCAATTGCAGGCTTTTTACCTTCACACCCACCAGACAACAGAGCATGTCCTCCAGTCAAACCACACGGTTTACTGGGGATCTTTAACTTATGCTAAGTTGATTCTCAGGCTGTGAATTTCTAACTCCCTTATTTTAAATAACTGGCAAAAATGATCTTTCTTCAAGAATTAGTTCAAAGGTCTTCCACTATATTATCTCTAAGCTTCCCGGACATTTATTCAATTGACAAAATTCTTTTCTGTACTTCTAAATATTCTACTTAGCACAAACTAAATTTTACTACTGTTATTAGTAGTCATGTCTCTCTTCACCAGTGAAATATACACTCCTACAAGGAAACTAGTACTTTCGGGGGGTTCAACAAATGTCCTCAGTTGGAAGTCTTTAAGGAAGGGAGGAAGGGAAGAAGAGAAGTAGAAAGCCCAGCAGTTGGAAAGTGTATGATTTTTTAATGAAATTTTCATTCCATAATCTGACTTTTGCCTCCTTCTTATATATTCTTTTCTTTCCATTTCAAAGTGATATGATTTAACTGCAGAATTTTTTAAATATATTTTATTGATTTTTTACAGAGAGGAAGGGAGAGGGATAGAGAGTTAGAAACATCGATGAGAGAGAAACATCGATCAGCTGCCTCCTGCACACCCCCTACTGGGGATGTGCCTGCAACCAAGGTACATGCCCTTGACCAGAATCAAACCTGAGACCCCTCAGTCCGCAGGCCGATGCTCTATCCACAGAGCCAAACTGGCCAGGGCTAACTGCAGAATTTTTAATATAGTTTAAAGAAAATAACCACCTGCAATCTCCTTAACATTTCTAATAGTGTTTTCTCTTTGGTCTTTTAAATTTCCTATATAACTTGAAAAATTTTTTTTGTGCAAGATGTGAAAAAAATTTTTTGTTATTGTTGGAGATTTGTTCATTTAAAAAAAGCAAAAAGAAAAAAACCTGTAAAACATATCCTAAATATTTACATGATTTATCTTAAATTGTGACTGTACATTTTGTTAAAAAAATATGTAAAAATGATGAACATATACTATGTTCTCTCCAAAATATCATGAATTTAACTAGCTTGAGTAGAAAATCAAATTTGATGTATTATGCAATTTTTAGCCATTGTGTTATAATTGATAGCATTATGTTTCATGGTGAAATGAAAGATAAAACTTCGCAAAATTGGCTGAAAACATTATTCTTTTACAAAGGAAAGCAATTTTTATTTTTAAGTTAATCTTTAAAGTAATATATGCCCATGATTAAAATTCAGTCAGAAAGACATAATATGGATAGTTTTACTCAGGATATAACTAATTTAAACAGCTTCTTGTTATCCTTTTAGAATTTTCTGTTTACTTATAGGATTTTAAAATCAATTTTTAAAAATACATTTTTATTGATTTCAGAGAGAAAGGAAGAGGGAGAGATAGAAACATCAATGATGAGAGAGTATCATTAATCGACTGCATGCTGCATGTCTGCTACAGGGAACCTAGCCTGTAACCTAAGCATGTGCCTTGATCAGGAATCCAGCCGAGACCTCCCTGTTCATAGGTCAACACTCAACCACTGAGCCACACTGGTGGGGCTCAAATCAATTTTATACTATTAAAAATTATCTACAATGTATTCTTTTCAAATAACAGAATATTTTAGCCATATCTACGTATTAGTGAAAAATCTGTATATCTCTATCTATGTTAGATGTATGGGTGGATGAATAAATGGATTGTTAGACTAGATGATTGATTGATCGATAGATGATAAATAGATAGATGATAGATATCTGCCTTTTTTAAAGTCCTGTAGAATATTCTGAGGTATGGATGAACTAAAATATGTTTAACTATCTTCAAACTAATTGAAATGTAGGTGTTTCCCAGGGTTTTTATATTCTAACTAGAGGCCCAATGCACAAAATTCGTGCAAGGGGCTCAGCCCTCACAGCCCCATCTTCATCTGGAAGTCATCCAGAAGGTCATTCAGCTGTCCAGTCTAATTATCATATCACGCTTTTATTATTATAGACAATGTGGATTATTTGTTTGATTTTTGTTAAAATTTGTTTTAAAACCAAGTTGAAAGTCCTTTTTTCTTTGAAAAGATAATTTTTTATTTATTACAACCATTTGTTATGACAGGTAAGTTGGGTCTTAAAACTATTTGTTATATGTATTTAAATTTTTTTGTTTTCTATCATTATATGGTGCCTTATTTTGTTTTTACTCTTCTATATGGGTTTTCTTCATGATTATATTTATAATACAAGTGCTATTTCTTGATTTTTTTTACCTTTAGGCAGTATTTATGCCATTCAGTGTTTCCAACTATGAAATATGACAAGATTTCCCCACCTACACTTTCTTCTACCTCTATTTTCCTACACTGTCAGATATTTATGTACCATATTTTAATTTTATGTTGTTAAGGCTTTTAACATTTACATTTAGTTTGTCATTATAATCCCATTGTTGTTCAAACTGTGGGCCATATTTAAATTGATTCTGTATTCCCTGACAATTCTTTCAACCCACAGCCTCTCTTTCTATATTCATTATTTGATTTATTCCTTTGGGAGATTTGAATTTATTCATTAAGGAAGTTTTTTTTTTCATTTATGCTTTTGGTTGCCTTTTTTTTTTTCTATTTTCCAAGAGAGGTTCATGAGTGCTATATTTCATGAGTCTTTGCTTGCTTGAAATGTTATTTTGTGGTATTTATATAAAACCAACATCTTGGCTAGCTATAAAATTCTCTCTCTCTCTCTCTCTCTCTCTCTCTCTCTCTCTCTCTCTTTCTCGTGTGTGTGTGTGTGTGTGTGTGTGTGTGTGTGTGAATTGCACATAATGAGGAAACTCTAAGACCAGATCACACTTAAAGGTTAACTGCTTTTTTCTTTATGGGGTTAATCTATCACACCCACATCCTAGAAATTCTTGCTTTTTTATTTGTGAGGATTTCTGTTCTATTTTATCTTTGAATAGAGTTCCAATGCTATAAGTTTTATACCTCAGGTAGCTCCCTTATCTTTCAGATCTAGCAGCTTTCTAATTATATTTTCCTTTGTGACATCCTTAAGCCTGAATATGATGTCATTGACATGATACTTTGAGGTTTGAAATGTTTTGATTAATATCCATTCTATTTTTTGCTGCTGCTTTTAATGTAGTTTCTATTTATGTAACAGTGTTTTTTTTTTCTGAACTTCTTTCCTGAGCTTTGCCAATGCTCTTTCTCTCTTCTAATACGGTTTTTTAATATCTTTTAATTTTAAAAATTATAATGAGATAAAAGAGATTAAATGGCAAGTCTTTTAATCATTTAGCTCATTAATTTTTTCCCCAAAATATCTCTCTGTCTCTCTAATTCTCTGAGGATATAAAGAAATATTTGGCTGAAATTTTTTTCTATTTCCTAAGAAATGTATATTTTCCTGTCCTTTAATGTAATTTATGTTCTTTCATCCCCCTTCCTCCCCCCCCCCTTTTTTGTGGCAGCTGTGCCAAGATCTTGTTTGGAAGCCTTCTGCTTATCATTCATCTCTGCACATTAGCAATTCTAACCTGGCCTACTTTTTCCTAAAGAACAGTCTGAACAAGCAGGTGTGTGACCTGTGTCAACTGGTTTGTCATCTATGAACTTTTTCTCACTGAATCTGTGCTGTCTTCTGTCCTAGGGGGATCTTTTTGCATCAGATCACCCAGGCAGGTCTATGGGGCTTGCAAGGAAGCATCTTACCACAAAGATGTTTTATTTGGAGATTGAGTGAATCTTTAGTCAGCGGTCCATGCCCAACAATCATGTTCTTCACTTTTCTCATGGTCATCCACACCCTCACTCCCTGTTGTTCCAAGTTAAAAAAATCATTAAATGAATCCATTAGGAACCTCACTTACATTGAGAAGAATCTAGACTCACAGTGGCATCCATTGGTTTTCAGTGTCTTCCATCCATTTGATCTCAGTCTCATTATATTTGATGGATGGTTACAATTCATAAACTATGTTTTGGGATTTTAATCATTTCCAATTTTCAATACAAGTAAGAGTTTACACTTCCAAATGAAAGTTTTATGTTCATTAGGTATCTGGCATGGGGCAGAGGTAGGAATTAAAATAAATATGACTTTACCATGTTTCTCAGGAAACCCTTTTCCCTTTTAAATTGTGTGACAACTGTCTGTTTTAGGGAATTTATTCTCACACATGTCAATCACAAGATTGTTACTGGATTTAATTCAAAATGTAAGAATAGCATGAATCATTGATGTTTACTATCTATATTGCATATCTATATTTCTGGTTGTGGAAATGTTCTAACTTAAAATTTTAAATTTTTGATAATAAATTAATATATGTCAACTTCTAAAAAATGTGGAAACATGAATATATTATAAGAAAGAGAATTTAAACCATGTATAATTTCACTACCTTGTAACCAGTATATTTTTTCATTGTAAGATAGATATTTTCTAACATTTTAATGTCTTATAATTAGTTACATGTCATAATTTAATTAGCAGAATATTTCTTAGTGGTATATCAAATTATGGCTCATCATACTTCTGATACCATCTCAGATTTAATGAAACATAGTACATTATATTTTAATGTACTATGTACTATTTTAAACCATATTTAGGATCGTAATTATATAATTTTTGGCCAACTTTAAATGAAATGCAACAATTTGAGCATCTTGTAGGATAAAATAAATCAGTATCATAATGTCATGATCCTTCAATAATGTTACACAGTTACACATTTTTTATAGAAATAGAGATGATCATATATTCAAAAACTACATGGTCACTAGCAGCCCAGAAAGATTAGCTAGACAAAGGACATCAAGGATATAGAGATCTAAGACACCTCTTACAAAAATCTCACTGATTATTAATAGCAATTACCAAATCACATATAGCTTGTGTTATATTTATAGTGAACAGTGCTGATCTAGGCAATGTAGATAAGTAATGGTTAATAAAATGTTCCCAAATAAGCTGAACACTGCCAACATAGCAGAAAAAAAAAACTTAGTGGGAAAATGTTTTTTAGTCATGTGCACAGCAAATGAGAGACTGCATTCTAAAAGCCTTGGTAATGACCATTACACAATTTTATAAATGAGTGAATCTAAACACCTATGTATAAAGAGAAAGTATCGGTTTCAAAATCCACAGGTCACTTAACTTATCTAAGTCTCAGTTTTACTTATCTGTACAATGAACTTACTAATAATACCTGCCACCTAGAGAAAGAAACCAGGATGGTTCAATGAAGTGCTCACTTGAATGTAAAATACTGAGTAAATGTAAGTGATCAGAATTAATGTTACTAGTTGCAAATATCATTAGTGATGATTCTTCAGGAAATGGCCCCTTTGCATTTACCTCAAAGGACAGATGGTTGATTTTATTCCATTAAATAGACACTAGCTAGCACTGGGAAAACAAGGCCAACCACAACTTTTGCCCAAGGCCCACTATGAGCCAGTTTACTTTCAAGATCTCATTCATTTGTTTTGATTGAATAAATTGATTTTCTCTTAACATTCACTGTTCTTCACTAACCACAGACCAAATCTCTTTCATGCACTTTCTATCCTCATGGAATATTTGCTATTTTCCTCAAGACACCCTTTGTCACCCTATCTCTGTAATTCTCTTATATAGAGTGCCTTCTTCATCTGTAACGATTCTCTTCCCCTTTCCTATCTCCAGATACAAATCTCTCCTAACTCAAAGGATATTTTAGAGTTAATTAATAGGTTCCTTGTCATTTACATTCTGTTCAAATGAAAAAAGAGAAATAAGAACTCGAGAAGAAATCTGTTCACAGTAGGTATTGGGCAATGCCATTCACATGCAACTCTCCTTGTATCCTTCCCAAGTGCAGCTATTCTGACGTCATTGCTCCTTCCTCCATACTCCCCAGAGCATTCATTGCATTATTTCTTATCACAGTTTACATCATAGTGTTTGTGTGAAAGTCTTATGTGGCCTAGTTTGTGAGGTCCTTGAGGGAAGAGATGTTATTTGTCCCCATAGCATCTGGCACACAGCACATGCATAATTGTTTTTTGTTTTTTTTTATTGAATTACTTTAGTCACTTGATTCTTAAGACCACTATCAATGTTATTTATCCCTTGAATTAAATCACTCCATCCACTTATTTGAATGATAACAACCAATGTCTGACATTTTCATGTATCTATTTATTTATTACATTAAATGTCAGTTTTCCAAGGCTTTCAACAAAACAGCCCTCTCTTTGGTGTTCCTTTCTGGGTCTTATCCTCAGCTAACATTTATAGCTTGGTTAGCTCTTCCTTTCCACTTTTTGTTTCTTCATGTCTCATAGTAGCACATGTACAGTAATTTCTTAATGCATCCCACGTGATTAAAGGAAAGAAGAACAATGATCTTTTTACGTGCCTTCCTTGCCTTCCTTTTCCCCCACACATATTTTGCCTCCTTCCAAACTCCCAATAGAGTTCAATTTAATTCCTCCGTGGGTCCTCTACTGTCTTGTTCTGTCTGGACTGTCAATCTTGTGGTCTGTTTCACAGATGCTATGCAGGGATCTTTCTTCATCATTATGTTGGCTATTCCTTTTAGTTTTTGCCTGTGTTGGTTTCCATGTTTTCTGGATCCCAGATCCTTATATTTGGTTTATTTCTTACTTTAGTATCATATATTCAGTAGTTTTGAAGAAATCTTTTACCAGAAATAGTATTGACTTTTTTGGTGGGAAGCTATTAGAAGTTTGACTTAGAATAGAATTCTAGGTTAGAGATGACTATCCCTCAGAATTTGGAAGGCATCGCCTGCCTCATGAGGGCCTGATGAAGTTCAGGTAAAGGATTATGTCAAAGGTAAAATATTGCTTGTCTGTGAGACGCAAGACACAAGGTCAGGGAAGGTCATTTGTGAGACAACATTGGAGTTGGGGATGGGAGTACTGGGCTGAATCAAAAGCCAGGCAGATTTTCCAAATCATTGTTGATTCAATGATGATAGAACATGGTAGAAAAGCCTGCTGAAAGTAAAAGTAATGAAAGTAGAGACTGTGATGTGGAGCCAGAAAAAAAAAATGTTCTGGAACAAAAAATAAAAAATATGCTATCTCCAGCCACTTTCAACTTGGTGTCAAGCTGGCTGAGAGGGAGCCTCTCCAGGGGCCAACCCAAATCTTGGTACCTAGACACCCTCCCACCCCAATTTAATTTTCTTAGATGAGGTTTGCTCAGCTCCCATGAATTCCTATATGACCCTGAAACATAAAATGCAATCATACCAGGGAGCAAAGCCATTCATGTTTGCTTATAATTGAGGATCTTTCAGTCCCACAACTAAGGCCAAGAAAAAAAAGACTCAAGTGGTTCTTTTTTCCCCCAATCATCCTGCTTAAGAGGGCCCTTTAGTTCTACATCGTTAGGCAGCTGCTATCTCTGAAATGGGAAGGTTAGGGATGTTGGCCAGGCCAGCATCAACTACTGAGAAGCCTGAACAGCCACCAAATGCAGAATTCTATGAGGACACAGAATTCCATCTGAGTCAACACCAGGAAATGAGTATACAGTGACTGTGTTATGTATTGCCCCATGCTGCCGGAAATTTTCTCCTCAGCGTTGGTGCTAATGCACTGCCTGGTCATTCAGAGCAGTGGTGACAGACCTTCAGGATCATTCTCTAAATGGTGCCTCAGTGTGCCCTTCTCATGCACAGTGTAACCAAGTTTGGATACCAGATATTAACATGCAGAGACTTTAAACTATTGCAATTAAGTAAAGTATGCTTGGATCTCTTGTCTCTTCCAGAGCAGATGGGCTATGTATCTGTTCTGAGAAAGAAAAATTCTTGTTACATGCTAGTCCCCTACTTAAACTTTTTTTGCTTAGAAATAATACTTATTTAAGCTTTGGATATTTATGATACTAAAAGAGCATTGGGGAAAGAAATGAATCCCTTTGCATCTCAAGTAAGGTCAAGGAAAACCTGGAGAAAGGTCATTAAAGGTATGAGAATACTCTCTTGCCACCCAACTCCTCCTCCCCGCTTTGCCAAAAAGGTTACAGGTTTCCCCTTCAGGCCTTGATTGAAAAGTGTGGTCCTCCTGATAGCAGCCTCAGAATCTCAATATCTCACTAGAAATTCAGAATCTCAGGCCCTATCCCTCCTCAATCAGAATCTTCATGTTCAACAAGATCCCTAGGTGATTCGTATAATCGTTAACACTTCAGAAGTACTGCCCATAAGGAGATTGCATAGTATTACGAGGCACAGGATGTCAATGAGTTTTATTATTGGTGATGTTACTTTTAATCATTTTGATAAGGTGGTGTCTTCCAGGTTTCTTAACTATAAAATTACTTATTCTCCCTTTGCAATTAAAAAGCATTTTATGCTGGAATACTTTGAAACTACATTAAGTGTTCTATTTCTCTTCATATTTTTGCCCACTATTTTTATATCTATTGACAACACGCAACCACAACAATTACTACGACAGAATTTACCAAATGGTGATTTAAAAAAAAAATTAATAGACTATTTTTGGACACTTGAAACATATACATGTATTCCCCACCTAATTTCCCCTATAAATAACATCTTACATTAATATATTTGTTATAATTAATATTGTCCCGTTATTAACTAAAATTTGTTCAGATTTTCTTAGTTCTACCTACTGTCCTTTTCTGCCCAGAATTCCACCCAAGATGCCACATTACATTTAGTTGACAATTCTCCTTAGGCTCCTCTTGGTTTGACAGTGCTCAGACATTTTTTTCCACTAGGCCTTCCTCATTTCTTCATTGGAATTCAACTTAAAGAGCTACCCCTTCTCCACCACTTATTTAATTATTTATGTCTGTATGGACTCATGGATATTCATTTTATGCCATGTATCTTACGCCATTATTATAATTACCCATTTGACTACACAGATTGTCTCAGATGTGTCATTAGGAATTCCTTCAAGTTGACTCCCTGACATGTTCCCATCTGCTTTTGAGCACTTATGTTCTGGCATCATAACATGTTCTAGGCCAGGGGTGGGCAAACTTTTTGACTCGAGGGCCACAATGGGTTCTTAAACTGGACCGGAGGGCCGGAACAAAAGCATGGATGGAGTGTTTGTGTGAACTAATATAAATTCAAAGTAAACATCATTACATAAAAGGGTACGGTCTTTTTTTTTTTTAGTTTTATTCATTTCAAACGGGCCGGATCCGGCCCGCGGGCCATAGTTTGCCCACGGCTGTTCTAGGCTCATCATGCACTTTCTCTGACCCCAGCCTTTGAATCAGATATTTTTTTGAGGAGTCTGGATCTTTTAACTGGTGAATGGTATTAAGAAACCAATATCTGGAGTCTGGGTATTCTTTTTGCTACTGAGTTGTCATTACTTCTAGGCTCTCCCAGTGGCAGAGCTAGAAATAGATGGATGTATTCTAACCCATACATGCATATGTTCCTTTACCTATTTCCGGGAGTTCATGCTGATACCTCTGATTCCAAACCAAAAGCATTTTCTGTAGCCTCCCCTTTTAATTATTTGCAACTTCTTTTTCTGACAAGAAGCCTGGCTTTCATGATCATGCCATGATATTTACTTATTTATTCAATCCTAGAATCCAAATAAAGAAGTTATAGAATTGCTAATTCATATCTCTGTGAACAACAAATTTACTAACTAGAGCACAAAATCTGTGTACAGTTTTTCCTATCTTTAGCCTTACAGTATTTGTTGCAATAACATTTGTCAAGATTACTTAGTTCTTTCCTTCCCCACCCTCTTTATTGCGGTTATGTGGTTCATTTGTAAGACAGTGAGGTTCATTTTTACTGTTTGTATTCCATCTTGGGTCCTAGGGAAGGGGAATGTTTTGACTATTGAAGTTTCCCATCTTCGACAAAGAGCACAAAGTAAAGCAGGTAATATTCCAGTATTCCTTGACCTTATAAAGTATTTAATAGGGAACAAGGGACATAATCCTCTTTGATCAGCATATGATTATCAGTATTTTAAAATCCTTGTCTCAATATAATCCAAAGAAGCAAAGTAAGATCTAGTCCAGAAAAGAGAGACATTCCTAATTT